AGTTAGTAAACGTTATTAAACAGTTTTAAATAAAATAAAAAGTACTTAGATTATATATATATATATATATATATATATACACACACACATATATGTGATCTAAGTACTTTTATATACACATACATACATCATTAATAAAAGTGTATTTTAATATTATATATATATAACATCATTCTAAGTGTATTTTAATATTAATATATATATATATATATATATGAAACCAAGAGGGCTGCACTCACCTGAACATGCATATATTATAGTGTGCTGCTGGGGCCGAAATATACAAAATGCCTCATTCCAGGACCCTATTTAGCCTTGACTTGCAGAGAGTCCCAGTAAGGAAGAATTTCCCAAGTAAGTGAATTAATCTCATAAGAGCAAGCATTAGGCTGCTAGTGTAGGACCTGCCAAGAATGGGGTACATTGACGGTGTGGCAGGCTTATGCAAAATATGTTTAAATAATGTAACTAAACCCCCATTATTTTTTGCCTAGGTGAGGTGTTTTCAGAGAAAACTATTACAATCTCTAAGATTTGAAATCATTGTTTAGTGAATAAGCGAGTGCGCTGGATTCTGTAATATATATATATATATATATATATATATATATATATATATATATATATATATATATATACTCCGCGTGTCCCGCACTCACTGCTCCCGGTCTTGTAATGCCTTGGTACTAATCCTGGCCATAATATAGAATACCTTGTAGGAAAGCACTCACAGGACTTGATATGGTTCAAAAATAGTGCTTCTTTATTGCAGCAAAAATTTCAAGTAGAAAGTGTCAACATTTCAGTCCCATCTCGACTTTTATCAAGACCCTTCTTCTTGATAAAAGTCCAGATGGGACTGAAACATTGACACTTTCTGTATATATATATATTTGTGTTAGGTGCTTAAGATAGTACAGTGTGAAATACCATGAATAAGCGTAGGATGATAAAAGGAGCAAGTCGGTTGTGGTGTGCCGAAACCGACGATGAGGTAGGCCTGAGAAAGAAGAGGGCCCACCCAGGAAAAGAAATAGAAAGGAAATAAATGTTAAAAGTGGTGTGGTGGGAGGGTCATTCAACGCTGACCTCGAACGGTAAGGAGCCAGGCAAGGGGAGTGCCTTAAGTAGGCTAGGGGTAGCAAACCAGCACCTCCCACAAATGCAGGCAAATTGCCTTAATACTTGTGTTAGGTGCTTAAGATAGTACAGTGTGAAATACCATGAATAAGCGTAGGATGATAAAAGGAGCAAGTCGGTTGTGGTGTGCCGAAACCGACGATGAGGTAGGCCTGAGAAAGAAGAGAGCAAAAATTAAGTAATCAAATTTATTTAACAGACAACCAATACATATACATTTATCAACCAGACATGTTTATGAAAGCATCCCTTAATTCTTGTACTGGGTTCGGTATGTACCGTGAGTAAGCGGATGACTTCCAGCGCCCCAGTGTTTTGATAACATGAGTTGGGATGTTGAAACTGGAGGCTGTGGACGCGGCTCCTATACGAAAGGAGTGTCCTGAGTAATTGTTTGCGTTGAGGCCCAGTTGTGTGAGCAAGGACCTGACGTAGGTCATGAAGGTTGTAGTGGTGAGTACTGCACCTTGTAGTTGTAATAACGGTTGCGAGGGCAGTAAGTGATGGTGCTGTATGTAGGCATCAAGAACCTTGACGGGACACCATCTGTTGTGCGTGGGATAGTACGGAATGTTTACAGGTATGTGCTGGCTGGTTTTGGAGTGAGGTAAAGACAGGATGTAATGATCCATATGTTTTGTCAAGTGGGAATAGAGGAGGAATGGAGTGGTTTGGGTCGTGGAGGTCGTAGTGAATTCTCTGGGTCGTAGAAATCCATAGAAAGCGATGTATATTGCTGTTTTGATGATAGAATTCGTATTAGTGTCAAACGGTTTTAGGTCGAGTAGGTTAGATAATGCTTTGAAGATATGGTTATCTATGGGTAGCCTCTGGGCCAAATGTGTGGGTTCTGATTTTTGAATACCTCTGAGTATGGTCTTAATTTGGTGAGAGGCCATGAAACTGTTGTTATTTGGGTGTAAGATGAGCATGTGGTGTTGAATGCCAGTGAGATAGAGTTTGATGGTGTTGTATGACATTTTGAGTTTAAGGTGGCAAAAGGAAGCAAACCCCAAAAAAGATGTCATAACAAACGGTTGTATGATGTTATGTTCCAGAAGGAATCGTTTGAATAGTGTGAAAGCCCTGCTGTATGTTTTGTTTGTATTGTTTGAAAGTGCCAACTGGGACAATGTCCTGCTATGCTGCATGATG